TGAGAGCGGAATATTATCATTCGATTAATGATTTTGCCAACACTGAAATGCGTCATCTTTTGGTTCAAAAAAGTATTGTACTGAAATTGTACTAAATTGCTGTTCAAAATGTAACTTTATGTCACACAACTATCTAAAGGTGTCTTGGACAAAGTTGTTTATTAGTTAATAATTAAATCTCGTCAGAAGACGTCAAAATCATAGCGGCCTTGGTTTTCAAGAGTTACTAATACTTCCGTAAAGTTCCTGTTTTTTTCTGAAGTTAATGGAACTGTTATTTGAACTTCTCTAAATTTCTAGAAATTTTCCTGAAACCTTTGGAAGTGCCCTGAAACGGATCCATCACTACGTAATGTTGATTAATATTTTCCTGTGGCTAACCTAAAAAGTGTATGAAATACACGGCCAATTAGATCAACACAAATTTGAGTTAGGTTCAGTGTCTGTTTTATCATTTACCATCACACGCAAGCAGTAGCGTTTCAACCCAGTGTAGATGAATTCAGACCAGTGACAAGGCCTATACCAACTGCAGCGTTTGACAGTAGGCAGCATGTACCGGACTCAAATCATTTATTTTGCTGTGCTGGGCCCGCTGTCACGGTATAACATGCTGCATACGCGCATGCCACTGGGCTGGATGAATTGATCATTTTGTCAAGCTTCTGCATTCATGTTCCATCAGATGTCACAGCTGTTGTTTGCGGTGACATCTATCGGAAACTAGACACAATATGTTTTCCTATAATTGTTCACAGAGGACACTGCAGTGCAAAACATATCTGGTACCTCTATATATGCATTTAGATTATTATTCGAAGTCCCTCCTTTTTTCACATTCTGCACACAAAATAGCTCACCCCTCACAGAATTTCCCGCCGAATTTTATGTATGGGGCGGGGCATAAAGTATCTTTTGCGCAGAATATGTAAAAAAGGAGGGACTTCAAATGTTAAAGCAAATTCATATATAGAGGTACCAGATATGTTTTGTAGTGTCAGGTACTCTATTTTGTAATATGTGAAAGGGAAATCACAAATCGAGTGTCAACAAAATACATGGCATGTTGAGAGATTGAGCTCGTGAGAGAGAATGTCTCTCTCAAATTTGAATTTTTTTGGTTTTCGAGGACTGGTAGTAAAGCAGGTAAAACTGTATGGGGAAAATCATTTTTAATTAATTTCTTTAGGTTTTCGTTCATTTTTTTTATCCTGAATATGCACCGGAAGCGAATTATTCCCAGTTCTCTTAATTTCTATATGGGGATTTTTATCACTTCCTACCAACGTAAAATGCCATCGTTGTGGAAATTTTCGAACAAAATGATTAACTGCGTTCGTTTTGAATATATTCGCTGTGAAGTACGTGCAAAACGAACAACCCACCTAACGCGAAATATAACGAAAATGGTTGAAAATTGTGTATAATCCGTACTAAGTTTAAACTGAAATGGTAGTTTAAGTTGACATGAACGTTTGTGTAGTAAAGTTGTAACGTTAGTAATTACGGTGTTTTGGAAGTGGACCGTACAAGTAGTGGAGGGAGGGAGGGAGGAAGGAAGGGAGAGAGAGAGAGAGAGAGAGAGAGAGAGAGAGAGAGAGAGAGAGAGAGAGAGAGAGAGAGAGAGAGAGAGAGAGAGAGAGAGAGAGAGAGAGAGAGAGAGAGAGAGAGAGAGAGAGAGAGTGAGATTAGTAATTTCCAATTAAATCCACTACCTTATTTGCTTATCCTTGACAGATACGCGTATTTCGTGTACAATGTGGATACTTCTTTAGTGTTTTGTAATAATACTCGACTCTGACACTGAAGAAGTCTGCACATTGTAGACGAAATACGCGTATCTGTCAAGGATAAGCAAATAAGGTAGCCAAATTTAATGGAAATTACTAATCTTTCTCTGTCTCTCTCTTTATACAGGTATTTATTCCACCCACATTCATCAGGATTCATTCACAAGAGTTGTTTTTTCCAAACATTTTCGTAAAGATATCTATATTAGAACCTTTTGACGTAGGATTACGTATTTTGGCAACATATTGGGGGAGCAATTTCAAAAAAACAAATTCGTCCGCGTTACGAAAAGTGGTCAGTTTTTGACCAATTATAACTCTGTCAATAGCGGATGGATTTTAATTCTAAACAAGCCAATAGGTTTGAAATTTTTCTACGAAGCTGCTAACATAAATACTTTGTTGAAGATGCTAATTTCAAATAACAGACTAAAGTGGTAATTTTTATACGATAGATGGAGGAGATGAAAGTATAGAGTTGATAGTTCCGTTAGAGTACGGCAGTGTGAAAATTGCATATAGATTAGATAGTAGATAGCGAGCTAGGACAACTTTTAAGGAAGGTACAAATTGGTTTTTTCATCTCTCTTTACCAAACTCCCCCTTTGGAGAGGGATGAGGAGGGGTGCCCCCCCCCCCCGCCACCACTGGCAAAAAGAGATAAACGCCGACCGCTCAAGTACCAACGATGTGTTTGAAACAGTTCTACCGATTTTTACCGCACTTCAGTTGTTATTTGAAGGAAGGCATCCAGTCGTAGGTTTGGAAATTGCAGCTATTGTTACCCCTACCACGGTATGTGCTGCTACTGTGCTCAGCTTACGGCACACTGCTATACCGATTGCCTGCAAAAAGAGGTTTCCCTAACACAGTCGCCAAATATTGATACCGAGCACGTAATCCTACGTTAAATCTGCGGTCGTGTCTTCGATGCAACCTCTTACTTTTTACTTGAGAACTATAAATGGTAATGGTTATGGTAGTTAGAAAGGTCCATGTGTGGCTTTGAATTATCGGTCAACTTTACGTGTAATGTATCGCGAATTGGTAATCTTTAATTTACAGGCAACCAATTCGCGATATATTCCACATAAAGTTGATCGATGAAACAAAACCATCCATGGACCTTACTGACTACCATAACCATTACCATTAAAGTTCTCAAACCATAAGTAAAAAGTAAGAGGTTGTATCGAAGACACGACCGCAGATTTAACGTAGGATTACGTGCTCGGTATCAATATTTGGCGACTGTGTTAGGGAAACCACTTTTTGCAGGCAATCGGTATAGCAGTGTGCCGTAGGCTGAGCCAGTAGCAGCACATACCGTGGTAGAGGTAACAATAGCTGCAATTTCCAAACCTACGACTGGATGCCTTCCTTCAAATAACAACTGAAGTGCGGTAAAAATCGGTAGGACTGTAAGTAAAAAATAAACGTTCATGTAAAGTTCCATCACCATTTCAGCTAAAGTTTAGCAGGGATTGTAAACAATTTTAACCTTTTTTGGTAAGGTCAAGTAACGGTTCCCATTTATGCAGGAAATGAGTTCATTGTACATCAACGTATTTGTTGATATTCACCACTGCTTAATTCTCTAAACCAAAATTGTCCAAATGAGAAACGATCCTCAATAGCAAAATAATCAAATTCAATTTGGGCAAAATTATTATGTTGAATATTGTCGACTACAGAGCCTAAAACCTTTATATTATCATCAATTCAGCTTGAGGCAGTAATTTTCTATCGATATGTTTATAAAAACCAACACAACACGTTCTACAGCGCTATATTTATGTAACATGAAAATAATCATTTCGCATTTGATCCTCAAAATCATCCCCACCTAGATAAAGATGAATATTAATATTGACAACAACACCGGCGATAATAAACATGCAGCCACGAATGAACAAAAACAAATGTTGACTTTGATACGCAGAGGTTGCCTTGACCAAGAGAATGAGTTTATGTCAAAAATTCAAATTCATGCAGGTAGTTGGTCTATCTGTTAAGGTTGTCTTCATTTTCAGCTAAGTTGAGTGTAGAAGGAATGATTTTTATAAGCACTGGTTAGGTTTACTCATAATCGCAAAAAAAAAAACCTCAAAAATCTGCCCGAAAATGAAGAAAATTGACAAAAATTGGAGTAGCAGCAATAGACTGAGAGAATCCAATCGCGTATCTGTCAAGGATAAGCAAATTAGGTAATGGAATTAAATGGAAATTACTAATCCTTCTCTCTCTCTCTCATTATAAATATTAATAGCTTATTCAGCTGTCAGATTTAAATTCGCACTTATATTCATGATACGAAAATATCATACCAATAACAAATTATGCTTTGATAGCAGAATAAGTATTTGATTTTTTACAGTGCACAGTTTTCCAATAACATAACAAGATAGTAAAATTTGATGCAAAACTTCTGCTTAAAAATATGGGTTTATAGGGCACCCTCGTATTTAAAATGTTCAAACGATTTAGTTTTACATTTGTTCTATATCGCGAAGTGATTTGGTATTGTCACTAGAGTGTTTCCAAGATAGAATGGTCACAAACATTAAAACCCTAATATCTCCGTTATAAGCAGGAATTAAGGTATAGTGTAGAACTGGGGCTTCCCTTAGCTCAGTCGGTAAAGGCGCAGCTACAAAGCAAGACCATGATGGAGGTGGCTGGGTTCGATTCCCGGTCCGGTCTAGGAATTTTTCGGGTTGGAAAATTTCTCGACTTCCCTGGGCATAGAAGTATGATTGGACTTGCCACACAATCATATCAATGCAAAAATGGTACAGGCATCGAAAGCTCTCAATTAATAACTGTGGAAGTGCATCTAGAACACTAAGTTGAGATCACGCAATAAGCTAATATGCTATATGCAATAAGCTTGAAATGCGAAGAAGAAGAAGAAGAAGAAGAAGAAGTAGAACTAATATCAGCATCAGTACCAATCAGCACCTCAAGTAGAGTGTTTCATCGCCCAACGCGAAAAACGTGGTACATATCATCAATATTCAAAGCGAGTGTCCATTTACGAATCAATTAGTTTGTCCATCAATGATGGTTTATATAAAAACAGCACCCACGAGTTAATGGCGATCGCAATAACGATTCCGAAAAGCAATGTATTTTAGCACAATAAGCCAGACTTGAATGGAGCAAACTTCTTACCATTACCATTATTTTCCTTTCTCGATCTACTTACAGGTTCAGCTTTGAATCCACCAGTGTGAGACGATAATTAACAACCAACAACGACTGTCTTCAACGTCACGCCACCGTCGCCGCCGCCACGTTGTCGTCATTCCAGTTATCTATCTTCACCACAGGCAGCGGATACGCTAATTATCATACAAACGGAATGAGCAATCCTCTATCCATTGGCAAAGTCTCGATATCTAACAACCTTCTGCTACGGATTATCCCACTGATTCGCAACGGGGAATTGATACTGGATTAACGTAGGAAAAACAGTCAAAGCACACATCCATTTAGTTATACCTTTGAAAACAGATCGAAATCAGAGAACCAATTGAGCTTATAAACTTCCATGAACTGAACAGTTATAGGAATAAGTATAAATGAGTGCATTAAAACAAAAAAGACAGTTTGATAAGAGGAAGATCAACAGAGCTTTACTAACGATACAATTAGTAAGTTTCATGTTGAATAAAAAACAGTAAATCAGCAGTGGTCTTAAAGCTTTTACGGCTAAATGTAATGATATTATATGCCGATCGGGCAACGTTCAGAGAGAAGTGTATAGCTTGTCCTTGTATTTATATGTAGTTTTGAAAGTTCGGTTGTACTCTAGACAAAGATGTAAGCATTTAACGTTCGAGCTGTTGTTGGTAGCAATAATATATAGGTTTTGACAAATCCGTCCATACGACAGTTACTTCTTGAAAGCTAGTTTCGAAACGTTATGAATATCGACAAACGGACAGTAATATTAATAAATACAAATCATTAAGTTATTACACACCCTTTCCTGCATTGCGTTTTACAAAGATTCTTAGCTTAAGAATTGCATAATTATAATAAATCATGATTGAAGCATAACCACTTTCCATATTTTGATTTCTACTGAAAGAAATCACCTTCGCCTCGCTATCAACGACGTCCTCTTCAATGTGCTTGGGCACGTGCTTCCGCTGTAATGCTTCCATTGTGTTGGCGCCCCGCACACGTTTGGATAAAGATTAAACCGAAATGAATAATAACTTACTCCGCGCGGTTAAGGTCGATATTTCCCATATTTCCTAATCAATTCGAAGCGATTTCCCAACTCATCGCGATTGCATGATCCAGCTCTCCACTCTGTACCGTATAGTGAGAATCGAGCGGCCTCTTTGAATAATTTTCTTCTCTCATTTGCGATACATTTCAGCTCATTTGAGCAATGTAAGTGTATACGATACCTACAACAGTTTAGCTGCGGCCCAGTGACCACCAAACGAAGGTAGAAGCAAACATGTGTAATGTGGATAGAAACATTTACATACGTACGGGTAGGTACAGTATCAGTCAATAGGTTCGCAACATTAGTGAATTAGCATCGTCTCTTCGAATATTGCTTCTTGCGGTGAGAAAATGTCTACATTTTATTTTTTTTAGAACGGGAGATGAACCACCCCTAGGCTGAAAGCCTTGCTAATAAAGAAAACCTTACCTATCCTATTATGGTGGCATTACGTTTGGGACCATGCACTGATTACGTAAAATAAAATAAAAACAAATCTTACGTTTTCTTACAAGGGAATATCTTGCGAAATCATAAAGAATAACAGTGTTCACTCGGCTGTCGACAAAAGCAGACCACTCTCGATGTGTGCTACGCGATCGTCTGTTTTCTCGGCAGCAACCATTATGTGGTCCTCCTCATTGTTCTTCATCAGCAGTTCTTTCGGTCGATGCGTCGTCGACTTTGGAAAGCAACCGTTTCGTGATGAGTGTGTGAGTGCTGACCACATTTTGCGTCCATTGCTGCAATGGACGCGCTCTGACCCTCCTTGGCGTACAACAATTTGCCATACAATGAAACTACTGGAAGCGGCTCCAGTTCTGATGGAGGAGGCTTTTTGGATAGCGGAAGATAAAGTGTTTATTGTGTTGTACCTTTTGACTATAGTTTTAAGATGTATTGTAAAGTGACCAAGAATCCTCGGCTCTGTAAAGTTAATTCGGTTGAGCCTTACCAAATAAATTAATAAACAAATAAAGAATAACATGAATAATACAGAACATGTTGCAAGGTTTGGCAAAATAAATAAGCTAGTATAATTTTTTTTTTGTCAAAATCAACATCACGGAGGGGACTGCCAACTGTGAGCAAAAAAAACTAGAGCTAGCAGGTTTCGGAATTGGTTATTTGCACTGTTATTGAATGTTCTCTACTGAAGATAAAACGTACAGTATTCCCGAGCAAAGGATTATTCCAAATTGATAACAAGTTCTGATACCCGCTTATCAAGATTTGATAACTGGACATGTTAACTTTATGGTTGAATAAACAGCCAACATAAGAAAAAATATAACAAAAGAATACTTCTGGGATATCGCAAAAATAACTGTTTTAGTTATCATTGAAAACAACACCTGTGATCCATGCCTATTTTTTCAACAAAATTCCAAATTATTTTATCGATTTGGTATTTAAGCCTTACGCTGATAACTGAAATATGATTGGCAGTGTTTTTTTTCCCTCACCATGTGGATAATATTTGATTTTTTTTTTAACTAACCTTGCATCAGTTCATATTCTTTCATGATATCAACTGATAACAAAATAAGTCGAGGTTGATAACTAAATTAGCTATGCGATAATAACTGAAAACAAATTGATATCTGGAATAACAAGACTTGTTTCCAAGATGATATCAGGTTATTATTTTACTTTGCTCGGGTTATCAACTGGTGGAAACTAACGATATTAAATTGGCTCATACTGGACTAGCATATCAGTCCCAAGTACATCGATGAACGTATCCCATTCTAGTCGAAATTCTGGTACTACACCATATTTATTTTAATTCACTTAAAGAGGTTGAATGTACAGTCAGGAATCCTTATTGCCGGATTCCTTATTGCCGGTATCTCTTATTGCCGGATCCTTATTGCCGGGCTATCCGCGAATAAGGATACCCACAGCTTATGGGATTTTCACTAATGGGGGCTGTAGTGGATTATCTCGTTTGTTTCAATACATAAAGCTATACTGTCTTGGACAAAGTTGCTGTACTGGGTTGGACCAACAAGCCTGTGCCATTGGATTCGGGTTAAATTGAGAACTACGCCGCTAGAGGCGCTTCACTTTTATGTTACTTATGACGGGCGCTATAATATATGGATCATATTTCCAACATAGAATATTTCGTGATCCTGACCATATAGAAAGTTACTGTTTTGAGCAAAGTTGTTCAGGTGAGCAAGTCCTTTCGGATGATGGTCATATTAGTTCAAAACACGCTCACTACGCGGCGCTAGTGAGCAAGTAAATTTCCTGTATAAGCTGTATCTCGAGAACCTGGCCATATAGAAGGTTACTGTCTTCAGCAAAGTTGTTCAGATGAATAAGTCCTTTCGGATGATCGTCATATTATTTCAGAACTCTCACACTACGCGGCGCTAGTGTACACATGAAATTCCTTAATATGTTATGTCTCCAAAGCTTGTCCATATAAGATGTTGCTGTGCAATGTGAGAACAGGAACCGGAAAAGGGATGACGTGTAGAGGCCGGAAATCGATGTCAGATGCCATTTTGGAATCCAATATGGCGGCCATCGGCTCAAGAAAAACTGTCAAATACCCTACAATATGGATATTTTTGGAAAGGGGACGACGTGTAGAGGCCGGAAATCGATGCCAGACGTCATTTTGGAATCCAAGATGGCGGCCATAGGGTCAAGAAAAACTGTCAAATACCCTATAATACGGGTATTTCCAGAGAGGGAACGACGTGTAGAGGCCAGAAATCGATGCCAGACGGCATTTTGGAATCAAAGATGGCGACCATCGGGTCAAGAAAAACTGTCAATACCCTACCATATGGGTATTTCCGGATAAGGAACGACGTGTAGAGACCGAAAATCGATGTCAGACGCCATTTTGGAATCCAAGATGGTTGCCATCGTTTCAAGAAAAACTGTAAAATACCCAACAACATGGGTATTTTCGGATAGGAGATGACGTGTTTGGACCGGAAATCGATGTCAGATGCCATTTTGTAATCCAAGATGGCGACCATAGGTTTAAGAAAAACTGTCAAATACCCTACAATATGGATATTTTTGGAAGGAGACGACGTGTAGAGGCCGGAAATAGATGCCAGACGACATTTTGGGATCCAAGATGGTGGCCATCAGTTTAAGAAAAACTGTCAAATACTCTACAATATGAGTATTTCCGGAAAGGAAACGACGTGTAGAGGCCGGAAATCGATGCAAGATGCCATTTTGGAATCCAAGATGGCGGCCATCAGTTTAAGAAAAACTGTCAAATACACTACAATGTTGGAATTTCCGAAAATGGACGACGTGTAGAGGCCAGATATAGATTCCAGACACTATTTTGGAATCCAATATGGCGGCAACATGTTTTCCATGGTCACCATAGCCGATCGAACTCCAGACGAAACTAGAACCGCACTACCGTTCATACTGGTGACAACGCTCTGATGAGACAACGAAACCTTACCCTCAAGCTCCTCCCCTGATCCTATCCTTCAACAATGTACCTCTCTTACCTCGAATAAGCCGCGAGTATTCGGCCCAACTCCTACTAGACATAGAATTAAGTGAATGTTACAAACAAAGAACAATGAACTATCGACTCCGTAAAGCTAACGTGATTGAGCCTTCCAAATAAACGAACTAGTTAAAAAAAATATGTTTTCCATATATAAGGCTTACCAAGAATATTGCACATAATTTATTGTGTATAGCGTATCACTGAGCAAGATCGCAACATAACGTAGAAAAATTCTTAAAAACAATAAAACGCTTTTAATTGTTTGTTTTTTTTTTTCTATCATAAACTACAGATTTATTCCTGGACCTCTCTACAGTGAATATGGTTGATATTTTCATCCACCACCTGGTGCGGCAGAAATCGAGTTAAAACTAAATCAACTCTCCGAGGTCGAAAGTTTCTGCACATTGGACAGCAATGTTGAACGGAGTGCAAAAATGCAAGATTTGCTAAGGGAAGTCGAGACCCATCTCACGGTGTGGAAGAACGAGAGTGACTAGAATGCATAAAACAGGACAGCGCTGGTTGGTTCTTTGTTATCGAAAGAGAAAATAAAATGTGGAATAAATCTGTAGCTTACGATAGAAAAAAAAAACAAAACAAATCAAAGCATTTTATTGTTTTGAGGAATTTTCCACGTTACGTTGCGATCTTGCTCAATGATACGCTATACACAATAAATTATACGCAATATGCTTGGTAAGCCTTATTTATGGAAAACATGTTGCCGCCATATTGGATTCCAAAATAGCGTCTGGAATATATATCTGACCTTTACACGTCGTCCCTTTTCGGAAATTCCTACATTGTAGGATATTTGACAGTTTTTCTTAAAACCGATGGCCGCCATCTTGGTTTTTAAAATGGCGTCTGGCATCGGTTTCCGGCCTCTACACGTCCGGAAATACCCATATTTTAGGGTATTTGACAGTTTTTATTGATCCAATGGCCGTCATCTTGAATTTCAAAATGGCATCTGGCATCGATTTTCGGCCTCTACACGTCGTTTTCTTTCCAGAAATACTCATATTGTAGAGTATTTGACAATTTTTCTTGACCCGATGGTCGCCATCTTGGGTTACAAAATGGCATCTGACATCGATTTCCGGTCTCTACATGTCATCTCCTATCCGAAAATACCCATGTTGTAGGGTATTTGACAGTTTTTCTTGAACCGATGGCAACCATCTTGGATTCCAAAATGGCATCTGACATCGATTTCCGGCCTCTACAGGGTCGGTCCCTATCCGGAAATACCCATATTGTAGGGTATTTGACAGTTTTTCTTGACGCGATGGTCGCCATCTTGGA